GCAGAAACTAGCCTAAAATCATAGTCCTGCTGTCCTTTGGTCTTTGATTTTGAGTTTTATCAGGGCTGCCTGAGTCTTTAATAGCACCTCAGACATGTGTTTGTGTTTGTATCATTGTGTGTGGCTTTGTTCACTTTTTTCATTTAAATGTCATATACTATAATTACAGAAACTCTAAACTGAAACCCAAGAAAATTATATGGAGAGAGTGTTTGTACTTTTGCTGTAAATGACACTCATGTTTATAATTCAGCAAATATATCTGAACATGTCTGGTCAGTTAGTGTTATATATCTATTCCTTTAAAGGGATAGTTTATTCTAAAATATCAATTCTGTCATCATTTACCCACCTTCATGTCATTGCAAATGCGTATGGCTATTTCTTCTGTCAAATACAAAATAAGATGTTTGGATAAACATTATGGAGCTCTTTTCAGTAGTTTTTAGTGATCATGTCTGTTAAACAATTTTAAGTATTATTAAGTGTCATCTGTCATAAAAGTATCATGTGACCCGTTTACTATATTCAGAGTCTTTTCAGGTCATGTGATGGTTTGTGTGTGAACAGACAGAAATATGAGTAATTATTCACTGATCATCTTCCTGCTCACTAAAGCTCTGAAATGCAGCACAAAAGCTATTTGAGCTACAAACATGACAGAGGGAATTAGTTCACTGAATGTTTCATAGGTGAACTTGCACATGTGTTTGAGTATGGAAGATAATATTTGAGAATTACAGCAAAGATTTTCAGCAGACAAACACTTAAACTGCACATAAAGCTGTTGTCTGAGTTCAGAAGACTTACAGCACATGAACTCATTTTCTGGTGTCTTTAATGTTATTTGTGGAGGCAACTTTGTGAAGGCCATTATAAGCTGTCATTACATGGAAAAGAGCTGCATGAAGATTCTTCAAAATCTGCTCATTCATTAGACGAATGAGGGCGAGTGATTTATTAGAAGCACATATGAAGAATCACACAGTATCCTCTCAGTCCTTAAATGATACTGACATGTTCGTTTGCGAACCCAATAATAATCTCCTCATTTCTGTTTCTATGTGATGCTGTCAGTGCGGGTGACTGTGGGAGGTCATGTCACTCTAAACCCTGATACTGAAATACAGACAGGTGATGAGATACAGTGGCTGTTTGGAGATAAAAACACTCTCATAGCTGAAATCAAAGGAGAGACCAGAGAGATGACTACATATAGGGGTCCTGATATGATATTCATGAACAAACTGAAGCTGGACAAGACGACTGGATCACTGACCATCAAGGTTATCGCAATTAAACACAATGGACTCTACACTCTGAAGATCAGAAGAGGCAGAAAAACCTTATACAAAAGATTCTCTGTTTCTGTCAGAGGTGAGTCACTCCAGTCAGTGTATAATGATCACATTGTTCCACATTCATTTTTTCTGAAGTGAATTCAGCACAAACTGCTTATTCTTTAGACTCTTTTGCGAGTTTCTCAGATCATTTCGGTCTTCAGTGTGCTTCTGTCTTTGGTTGTCATAAACTTTGTTTAAAAAAATCACTCCATTGGCCTATATTGTCATATAACCATCTATTGTGACAAAGGGACAAAGCCCCCCCAAAATAATATTACAGCATACACTTTTCTACACAGTGTTTAGTGAATAGACAGAACTCAAGACCTGTGCTAGATTTCTGGTGCATTTCATGTGCACAAAACCATTTCATCTCTAACACTAGAGGACAATGTCAGTGAGAGCTGTATTTAATTGTTTTTATACAGAATTTCATTTTTCATTTTCATTTTCACACAGCAGTGTAAAGATCATCACTAATAAAACAGCATCTGCATGATCTGTGTGTCTAAATTTCAAACTCTGATGTTCACATGCACATACTTTATTTAATGACATTGTGTATTTCTATGTTTCTATGCACTGTTCTCACACACGAAGAGAGGAAGATAAATGTGACTGAGGGAGATTCTGTCACTCTAAAGCCTGCTACTGAAATACAGACAGGTGATGAGCTACAGTGGCAGCATGAAGATGAAGCTCTGTGGGCTTATACGATAGCTGAAATCAAAGGAGAGACCGGAGAGAATATAGTGTATGATTCTGATTGGACATTCAGAGACGAGGAGCCTGGCTCTCTGACCATCTCAAACATCACAAATAAGCACGCTGGACTCTACACTCTGAAGATCAGAAGAGGCACAGAAACCTTCTACAACAGATTCTTTGTTTCTGTCAACGGTGAGTCACTCCAGTCAGTGTAATAATGATCACATTCTTCCTCATTCATTCATTTTTTCTGAAGTGAATTCAGCTCACACTGCTTTATGTTTAGGGGCCATTTACACTACAACGTTTTCAGCCAAAAACTGGAAACTTTTTATGTGTTTTGACTGTCTGTTTACACGACAACGGCGTTTTGGGGACTGGAAACGCATATTTTTGAAAACGGGTTTCAAAGTGCAAGTTTTTGAAAACGCCACCGTTATCGTTTCCGTGTAAACACCCAATACGGAAATCTTTGAAAACTGTGACGTCATGCACATGCGTAGTATGTGTTCAGTATGTAGACATGCGCAATACGTGCCGATTTTAACACTAGAGGATAATGTCAGTGAGAGATGTATTTAATTTTTTTTTATTTTTGTTTTTATACAGAATTTCATTTTCAGCACACTTTTCACACAGCAGTGTAAAGATCATCACTGATAAAACAGCATCTGCATGATCTGTGTGTAGAAATTTCAAACTCTGATGTTCACATGCACACATACTTGATCTAATGGCATCTGTGTATTTCTGTCTTTCTATGCACTGTTCTCACACATGAAGAGAGGAAGATAGAAGTGATGGAGGGAGAATCTTTCACTCTAAAGCCTGCTACTGAAATACAGACCGGTGATGAGATACAGTGGCTGTTTAGAGATGAAGATCTGGGGACTTATATGATAGCTGAAATCAAAGGAGAGACCAGAGAGATCTTTACATATGATGATCCTGATGAGATATTCAGAGACAGACTGAAGCTGGACAAGGAGACAGGCTCACTGACCATCACAAATGCACACGCTGGACTCTACATTCTGAAGATCAGAAGAGGCAGTAAAACTTTAGACAACAGATTCTATGTTTCTGTCAGAGGTGAGTCACTCCAGTCAGTGTAATAATGATCACATTCTTCCTCATTCATTCATTTTTTCTGAAGTGAATTCAGCACAAACTGCTTAATGTTTCGACTCCCTTCACAGTTTCTTCAGATCATTTCAGTCTTCAGTGTGTTTCTGTCTTTGGTTATTATAAACTTTGTTTTAAAAATCACTCAAATGGCCTATGTTGTCATATAACCATCTACTGTGACAAAGGGACAAAAGCCCCCCAAAATGAAATTACAGCATAAAAGTTTATGCAAAGTGTTATTGAAGAGACATAACTCAAGACTTGTGCTAGTTTTCTGGTGCATTTCCTGTGCACAAAACCAGATCATCTCTAACACTAGAGGATGATGCCAGTGAGAGATGTATTTTTTTTATATAGAATATATATATATATATATATATGTAGTTTTTTTTTTTTTTTTTTTTTAAAGAATTTCATTTGCAACACACTTTTTACACAACAATGTAAAAATTATCACTGATAAAACAGCATCTGCATGATCAGTGTGTCAAATTTCATACTCTGATGTTCACATGCACACATACTTGATCTAATGGCATCTGTGTATTTCTATCCTTCTATGCACTGTTCTCACACATGAAGCGAGGAAGATAGAAGTGATGAAGGGAGAATCTGTCACTCTAAAGCCTAATAATGAAATAATGACAGAAGATGAGATACAGTGGCTGTTTGGAGATGAAGAGCAGCAGACTCTCATAGCTGAATTAACTGGACAGAATGGAGAGATCTGTACATATGATGTTGCTGATGAGATATTCAAAAACAGACTGGAGCTGGACAAGACGACTGGATCTCTGACCATCAAGAACTCCATGACTGAACACTCTGGACTCTATAAACTAGAGATCACATCCAGCAGTGGGGTTTCAGACCAGACATTCATTGTCACTGTCAAAGGTGAGTAGCTCACGTCAGTATAATAATGATCACAGATCTTCACTAGCAGTTATTCCTCATAATTCTGTTCTTCTGCAGGTAATTCAGCTCAAACTGCTTAATGTTCAGACCCCATTCAGAGTTTGTTCTGCAGATCATTTAGTTATTTAGAAATCTATGATTACAGTTTTAAAATCTCCCATTGAACTACACTGTGAAATAAACTCTGTTCTATTGCTGCCCCAACAAGTATTTCCTTAAGCTTATGTTTCAGCACTCTGTATGAAGTTCACTTGGATTTATAGTTTTCTTTGAGTCATCAAATCTGAAGCAGAGACAGTAATATAAAGTTTCTATTTAATAAAACAGCAAACTGTCTTCATTTCAAACTGATAAAATGGCATCTGAATGCTCATGACGTATAGGCAGCTGCCTATAGGGCCTGCAATGCACTGAGGGGCGGCATGAGGCACTGCCTGCAGCTTTCAGACATCTCTTCCTTCTCTTCTTTATAGTTTATTCATGCCATTATTTTAATGTGGAGAGCACATTAACATGAGAGCATATGCGTGAGTGCAGTTTTCTCAGATATACCGTGTGCTCTGCTCTCTCTTTATATTGCGTGTGCTCAAACATTGTCCTGTGCACTCGTGAATCTCTATGTGCTCTTGTTCTTGGAATTCTCTTCTCTCGTGGTTTTATTGTTTTTAGAAGCTGTCAACCATCAGACTTCCTCGATTGACCAATGAATATACCTTTAAAATGTAAAGAAATAAAGGAGCCATTATTGTATGTTGAATATACAAACTTCATGATGTAGCAACTTCAATTTTAGTCAGGCAGTTTTCTATTTTGTATTTATTTGAGTGCTTATATAGTTTATATCAGTGCTTCTCAGGCTGTATCCAAAATCGCCTCCTATACCCTACATTAGTCCACTCATTCAGTTCACTTGAAGGAGTGAATGAAAACGAGTGAGTGAATTTGGACACTGAGTGCACCGGAAGGACTGCCGCTTTTGCATAGTTTGCTTGCTGTAGGCTTAATAAGCATCTGAAACGGGCAGGTCCAGTAGTAAGATTAAAGGAATTATCTTGAACTCTTGTCACGGAAATGATGTATAAACCCTAGTTAAACAATTTAATAGTCGATTTACAATGAATTTGTACCTGTGTTGTATTACGTTGTATTACGCCATGGACGAGTGCGTTTGTAAAATGAATGGATGGATGATTCAGCTGTGGGCGCCATCTTCTGGTGAGACAGACGCGTGACTTTCACAGTGCATTATGGGTTATCTCTAGCCGTTGAGTGTACATCGGTTGCACACTCATTTTTGTGGTGCATTGTGGGATTGAATGAGTGCACTTGAGAACGCCCACTATGGTTTCGGACACCACTTAAAATGGCTGTCCCCTCAAATAGTGCCCTATTTTTGATGAAGGAAAAGAATGGTGAGATTCGGTTGTTTGCGCTGAATATCTTGAACTTTACAACAATATCATGATCTTATGTGTGTGATTTGGCTTCATGCAGTTTATTCATTCAAATTTCAAACGAATGATTTTAAGTAAATGGAAGAGCGATTGTCCTGAGAGAAATGGCCTTCTGCTGAATCTTTTAATGCTACAAACATCCGAGATGTAGAAGTCTAAAAGATCCAAGTAAACTTTACATTTCAGTTTGCTTATTCTAGTTGATGCATGACTGAGTTAACAAATATAATAAATGTTTATTTGTCAGAAAAGTGCTTAAACTAGATTGAACTCCTCAAATGAGCCAGATGTGCTGCTGACAATCTGTTAAATTATTTTGTACATTGTAAATGCTTCACTTTAGTTTTGATGTCTCATATGAAAAAATTCAAATCAGTACATTATCTGTTTTTAATTCATCATTGTCTTTGTATTTTCCTTCAGATTGCACAGAAAAGCGAGTAAATGTGAATACAGTCACTGATTCAATGAAGCCACTGTTGAATGAAGTGTATGTGAATGTAGTGAATGAACAGGAGGGGAGGAGTTCACTTTAATAACATAAGACCCGCCCACCAGTGTCAATCACTCTGACATCATCAACATTCAGCTCCAGCTACAACACAAACATTTTTAATTTGAAAGATGCTATTTGTTATTACTCTGACTCTATCAAAACAAAAATATATATTTTCATTTTTTTTATTTTGTTTGGCAATTTTTTTAATCCATAAACAAAAATTATAGGCTCAATTCCTACTCTTTCACATTTTCTGATTGAGGTTGACACACTGCTCATCTTTTGTTTGACTGGCAATATATGTCAGGTTTTTGAAACTATATGAAAAATTAATTTCTATTGACTCAAGTTCAGACAGCTCTCTTGCATTGCTTTTATTTTATTTTTGGATTATTATATTTTTTCCCTTTATTGTAAGCTACCTACCCTTTTATTGTTAAAATTTTCCTAATCGCATGTATACAGTTATTCTTACTTGTATCTTCTTTTCTTTGATCATTTTCATCTGTTTGTTTTTTTATAAAAAAATATATATTTGATCAAAGGACAAAAAAAACAAAAAAAGTTTTTATGAGCCTCTAGAATCCGTCCAGTGAACGTGAGAAATGTTAAACTCGCATGTAAAAAGCTTCTTTGTCATTTAATAATGTTACACTTCATACCTGTTACTTTATTAACATAATACTAGTTTTGATTTTGTGTGAGTGTCAGAAAGTGTCATATGTGCTTTTAATAAGACGTTTTGCCACAGCAGTGCTTCTCTAACCACTATATTCGCTGTTTTTATATAATTAACACCAGTACCAGATTAATGTTGATGCTCAATACTGATTACAGTCTGTTTCCAAAGCTCTGTATTCAAGCTGAAGCACTTAAATTAGCCTCGTTGCACTTGTAGCAGAAACACGATAAACAGCTTTGTTCGGTTCTAGCAGTGATATGATACCACATGCATTGTGCTTTGTGTTGTTTTATTAAATCTGACAACAGCATCTGCTTGATGAATAATGTGCATGTTATTGATATATCGCTGATCTTAATGTTGGATAATTTCTGTCCTCTAGTCAAGTGGACAAACACTGATGCAGCTTTTGCTTCCTAACGGCTGTCTTTAAATGCAACATGTAAATAATGTGCCTAAATATACATTTGTATGTACTAAAATATAATAAAAATACAAATTGTGTGTGAAACATGTTGCTGCGTACTGTATGTTCTATGATTGATGTACAAGATCAGATCTACAGAGTAAACTGAATATGACCAGAAACTGTTTCACTGAATGAAACAGCACTAAATAATAATAATAATGATGATAATGTTTTGTGGTCGATTGATATATGACTTTTTTATTTTTATTTTAGAGTTTACTTTTTTACATTTGTATTATTTTACAGTTTAAAAGTATCATCTAGACGGGCTTTTATTGTGAATCTCAAGTGCTGCCATGAAAAGACTTTTAAATACACTTCATCTTTTTCAACACACGATGGCAGTAGAAGAAAATGGAAATGTTAGTAAATGAGATATAATCAGGGGTGCACATAAGTGGTCCGCAGGTGCGACCAAAATAAGACATGCGCTGTGCAAATTACTTCAGAGCGCGCGTTTGCGTACCGACATGATTGGCAGCTGTTAATGCACAATTACCATTTTAGATCGACAAACTGTACTGTATTAGATTTCTATTCAAACTGAAAGCATAAATCTAGGCTAACGTTTTCAAAGCACAATGCAAAACTCTGACATTTCATTCACTGACGCTCTACAATCGGCAGCGCTAAACCCGGAAGCGCATATGCTTATTTTAACCCGCCAAAATAAAAGCTTGCTGATTTTAAGTTTGAAAATAAAAATAATAAAATAATTCAAATTAAAAATAATAATTAAGGTTCAAATCAAAATAATAATAATATAAAAAAATAGCATTTTATTTTTTAAGTTTACTATAAAATAATTGTATTTGTATTTAATACTCCCTTTTTATTTTAGAATAAAATAGTATTATCACACTTTATTATTTAGTTTAGTTCATTAAAAAAAAAAACTAATTAAAGTGCAATAATATTATCACTATTATTAAATAATTTTTTATAGTAATATTTGATGGGTCACACCATGTGCCGTGTGAGGACCAAACCAAATCTCCAGGTTCTCATATGAAAATCAGGCTGAAAAACTTATGTGCACTCCTGGATATGATCCCTGTCTTACATTGCAAATGTGAAAAATGTGCAATAAAAATGTAGAATTAAAAAAAAATTATGTTTCTATTTTAAGTCATTTCAAATAATCTCTTTTCTATTTCATATTTCTATTTCAATTTTTCTGCCCATCAAAAAATCGATGAAAAACTCAACACATACCAGATTTCAATAAGCAGCACACCTGTTTTCATCGAAGAAGAAGGGTAATGTTGCAAATTAATAAATAAACAAAAAGAGACACATATAAACATGACTGTCAATTCATATACAAAAGTTTAAAGTTTCCACAGGTCAGCTCCTAATGGACTAAATAGTGATAGAGCAATTTTCATATTCAGTCAGAAGGGGGAGCTACTATGGAGAACGAAACCTGCAAAAATTTTCATATTCAGTCAGAAGGGGGAGCTACTATGGAGAACGAAACCTGCACCATTTCTTTGGGTCGTTTGTAAAGTCACAGATACTGTACGGACAATGCAGCTCAGTTTATGTATCTTGCTCTGTTGAACGGCAAAAGTGACTTTACGTAGGCCATACTGGATTAACACCATGCATCTCCTGTCAGCGGGAAAGCCACGCCCCCAGCTATGACATGACCCGAGCAAGTCCATGGTTGACACCCTCTCATTAGCATGCTGTGCAGAGGAAAAATAAATGTGGAACTACATTCAGAAATAAATGAGTGATCAAAGGAAAATAAATAGGATGAGTTTAGCATTTCCTTAAACATTTTCCATTTGTCCACCAATTTATTTTATTTATTTGCCTACTTTAATCACATGTTTAATTATTTCTATATGTATTTAAACAAGAATTTGTGTATTTATACAGACATTTATTTATTTATTTATTTGTGTATTTATTGTTTTTGCAGGTTTCGTCCTCCATAAACTACAGCAGCAGCATCTGCATTAGGAGAGTCACATGTTTCTGTACAATATC